GAATAGGAGGGGGAGGGGAAGGGGGAGGGGGAGAAAAGAAATGGGTATAAAAATGGCAATAAATAAGTACCTGTCGATAATAACCTTCAGTGGAAATGGATTAAATGCTCCCATCAAAAGACATAAGGTAGCTGAATGGATAAGAAAACATGACTCATATATATGCTGTCTACATGATACCCACCTCATAACAAAAGATTCACATAGGCTTAAATTGAAAGGATGGAAAAAAAATATTCCATGCAAATGGAAATGAATAAAATCTGGGGTAGCAATACTTTCATCTGAAAAAAATAGACTTCAAAATAAAGGCCATAATAAGAGACAAAGAAGGTCACTACATAATATTAAATGAATCAGTCCAACAAAAGGAAATAACCCCTGTAAACATATACAGTGGGGCCTTGACTTACGAGATTAATTCATTCCGAGACCGAGCTCGTTAAGGAGCTCGTTAAGGAGCTCGTTAACTCAAATTCCTCTGTCAACACAAAGCAAAAAATCTGCTGAGAGACAGCTGGTATCTCAAAAAACTCATTAGTCGGGACACTCGTAAGTCAAGGCCCCACTGTATGCACCAAATATAGGAGTATCTACATATATAAAGAAAACTCTTGGTGGACCAGGAAGAGATTGGCAGCAATATAGTCATAGTAGGTGTCTTTAATACTCTACTGTTATCACTTGTTAGATCTTCCAAATGAAAAAATCAACAAGGCAACAGTGACCTAAAATGACACACTAGATCAAATGGACTTAATTAATATTTACAGAACATTCCAAAAGCAGTACAATATACATTCTTCTCAAGTGCACATGAAACATTCTCAAAGAGAGACCACATGTTATGACACAAAATAAGTCAACAAATTCAAGATTTACATTATATCAATCACTTCTTGGATCACAAGGGCATGAAACTAGAAATAAACTACCAAAAAAAAAAGCCCTCAAAAACATTCAAACACATGGAAACTAAATAGCATGTTATTAAACAACGAATGGGTAACCAAATAAGATCAAGGAAGAGCCCTAACGGGTTTTGCTCAGTGGATAGAGCAGTGATGACGAACCTATGACACCTCCTCTGACACGCGAACTCATTTTTTGGTTGATTTTCCTTTGTTAAATGGCATTTAAATATATAAAATAAATATCAGAAATATAAGTCTTTGTTTTACTATGATTGCAAATATCAAAAAATTTCTATATGTGACACAGCACCAGAATTAAGTTAGGATTTTTCAAAATGCTGACACACCAAGCTCAAAAGGTTCGCCATCACTGGGATAGAGCATCAGCCTGCGGACTGAGAGGTTCCAGGTTCAATTTTGGTCAAGGGCATGTGCCTTGGTTGGGGGCACATCCCCAGTGGGAGGTGTACAGGAGGCAGCTGATCGATGTTTCTAACTCTCTATTCTCCCTTCCTCTATGTAAAAAATCAATAAAATATATATTTTTAAAAAGATCAAGGAAGAAATAAAAATATTACCTGGAAACAAATGAAAAAAACAAAACAAAACACAAACAATTGAAAATGTATGGTACAGACCAAAAGCAGTCCTGAGAGGGAAGTTCATAGCATTACAGGCCTACCTCAAGAAGCAAGAAAAATCTCAAATAAGTAATCTAACCCTATACGTCAAAGAACTAGAAAAAGAACAACAAATAAAGCCCGGAGTAAATTGAAGGAAGGAAATAATAAAAATCATAGGGGAAATCAATGACATAGAGACTAAAAAAACAACACAATGCAAAAGACCAATGAAACCAACAGCTGGTTCTTTGAAAAGATAAACAAGATTGATGAACTTTTAACTAGACTAAACCAGAAAAAAAGAGAAAAGACACAAATCAATAAAATCAGAAATGAAAGAGGAGTGGTAACAACTTACTGCACAGAAATACAAAGGATTGTAAGAAAATACTATGAACAACTATATGCCAACAAATTGGACAACCTGGGTGAAGTGGACAAATTCCTGGAAACATATAATCTTACAAAACTGAATCAGGAAGAACCAAAAAACCTGAATAGCCTGATAATAACTAATGAAATTGAAGCAGTAATTTAAAAAGTGCCAACAGTCTGACCAGCATGGCTCAGGGGTTTAACATCGACCTATGAACCAGGAGATCATATACCCAGGTTGTGGGCTCGATCCCCAGTGGAGGGTGTGCAGGAGGCAGCCGATCAATTATTCTCTCTCATCATTGATGTTTCTATCTCTCTCTCCCTCTTCCTTCCTCTCTGAAATCAATAAAAATATATTAAAAAATAAAATTAAAAACAAAACACCCCCCCCCCAAAGATTGCCTTTCAAAATAAAAGCCTGGAATTGCTGCAGACGTTATTGATTACCTCATCAATATCCACTTTGGTCTTTCTTGATTGTTTAGTACCTATGTCATTTTGGTGAGATTGACTCCACCTACTACTTCAGTGATGGTTCTTGATTAGCATAAGCCAATTAGTCAAATGCTGCCATTTTACTAATGTGATTGTTTATGAAATAAGTATATCATCTGGATTTAAGACAAGTGGGCATAGCGTTATCTTTGTCCATATTACAAGGGCAGGCAAATGAGCTATGTTGGTCCCAATCAAAGCAGAGCACAATTTTGATCAAAAGTTGCTGTAACTAATATAATATAGAAGGTCAAATGGAATTTTAAAAAGTTGCTGTAAAGAGCTGCTCTCCGTTACTATACACGAATAAGGATGCATATACTCCCAAAGTTGTCAACAACCATATTATAACATAAACTTCAGGATAAAACTGACATGAGAGAAAATAGAAGACAGAACCCAACTTGGTTTTTGGTGGCATCACTGAGTATATTCATTCATTAGGGCTGCCATAAAAAAGCATGACAGACTCAGTGGCTTACACAACACAAATTTATCTTGTCACAGTTCTGGAAGCTAGGTGTCTAAGGTCAAGGTGTCTCCAGGGTTGACTTTTTTCTGAGGCCTCTCTCCTTGACTTGTATATAGCTTTCTTCTCCCTCTGTACTCACATGCTCATTCTATGTGTATCTGAGCTCTAATCTCTTCTCAGAAGGACACCACTAATACTATATTAAGACCAACATATGTGACCCCATTTTACCTTAATTACCTCTTTAAAAGCACTATCTCCAAACAGTTTCACATTCTGAGGTACTGGGAGCTAGGACTTCAACATATGAATTTGGAGGGGACAGAGTCAGCCCACACCCTGAGCACTTGGACTAAGTCTAATCTATCAGATTTTTCAAATAAGTAGCCAATAAATTCCTTTTACTTTAAATCATTTCTTTTCCCTTATGCGCCTTACACACAGGCTCACCATTTCTCTCCACTAATACTAGCAGCGAATATTTTAGCAGCCGATGGTCACGTCATTAGTCTTGGACTGACTTGTTTGGTGTGTGCAACAGGAAATATTTCGCTTTCGGAGAATAAGAAAAATAGGTTTATTTGTGTTATGCTTATTAATTTGTGCAGTTATTCAGTGTCTGGTAAGTTAATGTTCAGGAAAAAAATATTAATTTTATTAAAATGTTCTATTATTTTAGGTTAACAATGACTCATTTATTTCAGCCCTTTGTATTCAGCATATCTCTAGCGAAATAAACCTACGTTCCTATGAAAATTGAAGCTTTTGTTTTTTTGTGGCCCACGTAAGCTTAAACCTTGTTTATTTGGCCCGTGTTAGCCTTTGAGTTTGACAGGCTTGTCTTACAGGATTATGCTGTACTATGGACGAAAAATTATAAATAACAAAAAAGGATATAAAAAAGATTCAAAATGGATGCCATTTTTTGCAAAACTAGATATGGTTTGTTAGACGTTGCAATTACATTCAAGAATAACTCTCTAAGTTAAGCCTTATTTTTCCAGAATTAGGTCTGCAAATCTAAAAGAAGCCTACCCCTGCTTTCAGGAAACTCTTATGATGGGGATTTCTGTGTATGTGTATACAAAGAATTATGTCTGTGTGTTGTGATTGGGTAGAGGTATATAATTGGGATTGTGTGTTTGCTAATATGCCTATCTGCAAATATCTAGAGGAAATGTGCATATGAATGCACGTACAAGTATTTGCGCATGCATATAAAGATTTCTGTAGCCATATAAGTTTCGAGAAAGGTAAGGTATTTCTGTGTGAATATGTGTGCATGCAAAAATGTGAGGAATGTGTTAAGAATGGAAAACCACTCTGGCAGGGAATTGAGGGGTGGAGCTAGAGAACCAGGGAGGGTGGAGGTGGGGAGGGGAAGAAGAAAGGAGCGCCAACAGGTCACACAGGTACGAATTTGGGAACTGGGGAGAAGTCTAGGCTCTTTTCCTAGGCAAGAAAGGCTGCCGGTGCAGTGAATAGCAAGACGGGGAGGCCTCTTTACTAAGCGGAAAACTAAGAGGATATTCGCATGCGGAAAGGGGGAGGAGACTGCTGCAACTGTAGCGACTGGTGGGATCCCAATGTGGCAGAGGGGCCTCTGCCGCCGACCTGAGGCTGAGGGTCCGCGAGCA